CCATCCATTAATGTATAACATGATAAACTGAGTTTATTAATTCGCACAGCCGACTACTCTTCAGTTATACAGATTCAATGCGGCGGCTGAAGGACCAATCGTTGACATGAACCGCTACGTCAAAAACATCATGGACCATAACATACGAGCTGAGGCAGTGACGAAAGGAAACACCAATTCATTGAAAAATTTGAGGGAACTGCTAAAGTTCAAATTTCGAGACTGCAAATAAAGTATTCTGGCAAGTCACCCACCCCTTTGATATGAAAAGAAGGATATTCGAAAAGTCTTCAAGACAAATCTGGACGGCTTTTCACGGAGTTAGCACATTGATACCTTTATAACCCCTAAATAAGAAACGAGAAACTCGCCTGTAAGGCCAGGAAAAATCGAATCGGGGTTACACCTTGCGCTCATTATCACAGTAGAAAATTAGCCATCATGTTTGCCAAGGAAAAGACCAGCTACAAAAGATGTTATCATCCTCTCGTATGACTGCACACCTCCTCCATTTTGATATAATCAAACCAGAATACCATACCATTTTTTTGCAAGTCATTAACTTACTCTTCGTTTCGCCGATGGTTACACCTAGGTAACATAAATTTAATTTATTTCTCACGGGAATTCGCGGTCAAGACAGAAGATGTGGTTTCAGCAGATTCGAACACGATACATGAAATTAAAAGCTAGCTCCTCTGCCACAGGGCCATGACGCCCCAAAGATATTAGTCTTTATGTAGACAATATCACGCGCACAAAGATTAAAAATGTTAAACAAGTGAATAAGAATATTTTTCAAATGTAGGTTGATGATTTTAGCGTGGATAATATGGACTATGACGCTGGATCGGGAATGTTCGGAAACAGTTAATTGATGATATTTTCACAATGGCGAGTTTGACTGTCTGGGATTATGAAGAAGAAGTGCATTACCTAGCGAAATTAAACAAATGCTTCATATACCTCGACTAAAAATTACAGTACCAATCGATTCATAGTCCCTTCAGGAGACATTCTTTGAAAAAGTAACCTTCTATCAAATGATTTCGCAGTTATAATCTTTTGTACTTGCTAATTACAGTATTTGAAACTGTAAGTCGTAGATGTGAGCTGTTAAGCTTTCCCCTCTGATGCACAATATTGGTATTCTTGGACCCTTAAATGAAGATTTTAGCAAAGTGCATGATTGCACTAAATTGGATTTCGCGGCGTTATGATGCTAAGCAGTTGCTGTGGCGATGCCACGGACTAAAATTGTCGGCTTAACGTAGTTTCACGCTTAAACGTACTAACGGTATTGTATTTTTAACATTTCTACTATTTCAGAATATTTTATACCATGCTCTTACTATGGAGCGTTGTTAACTTTTGTGTGTTGCACTTTTGTGCGGAAGCAAACTTTATTTCGAATTTTAGCTACCTAACCTGTAAGTACCCTGAAATGAGCTATATCAGTGAAGCGAATACCTCAGTTCTTTCATATCTGACGACACTATCGGTGAATTACAATCTGAAGATTGCAGGATCGTCATTGCCTCTAGTTTTTTGCTGATTGCGAGTATATTTTCATGATTTAAGCTGATAATTTGAACGGCATGACCACCGGAGTCTTGTATTTCAACAGCTTACTAACAAATATTTTCATATTAAATTGTAAATAAGCAGTAGATCAGCTATAGACAAAGCATCAAACCATGAACAGTGCGATGAATTCCGAGGTTTCCGGTCCATAACCGGGAGGAGAAATGAAGGTTGGGATCCTTGGCAAGTTGTCCCGTAAAATTTTGCTACTTGACCCACATGGCATTACCTTTATCGAAAGTTATGCTGGCTTGATCGTGACCAGGATCACCAACACTGAGACAGACTGCGAAACCTCGCATTAGAACCTGCTTCTCGCCTTTACGCAGCTGAGGGCGTAGCAGCACAGTGGCGCTGCCCAAAATCGACAAGACGAATGAAGATACCATTCAGGAGCAGATCCTCAATCCTTTCTGAACGAAGGAGGTAGACAGCGGTGCTATTATAGCACGTCAGGTAAGGAAGTTCCATGGGAGTGGAAGCTTACTGATCGGAGATTGGAACATCCTCACTTAGAGGGAAAAAGGAGGAGCTAGTTGATATGGCCATAAAGTACCAATTCAACATTGTTGGACTCTCGTGAATGAAGCGCCAAGGCTGTGTAATCCTGAACCTTTCCGGGTAAAAGCTATTCTACTCTGGTGTTGACATCACGATATGCATTCAGGTCGGCGTTTGTTCTCTGGTAGAACAAAACGTAGCTGATGGAATCACTAAATGGTAGCTTGTCAGCGGAAAAGTGGCAGTCATCTGGCTGAAGTTATAACAGACCAAAGCTTTAACCTTGTTCCATATCTTTGCGCCAAATTTGTGGGGGGGGGTATGAGTTCTTCCTTGTGAAAGCAGTGTGTGCTCTATACGAAGTACCGACTATGGAGTCCC